ACATACAGCCCTCATACCAATCCAGGTACTCCTGGAAAAGGAGACCTTCGAGGGGATGACACATACAAGGGACCTAAAACAGAGCTGCCCAAACCACTCTGGGGTGAGTATCATCTCCAAATTAAACTTGCCCAAAAACAATACTTCAAACTGGCAAAAAAAAAAAAACTTATTTACTTTACAATTACATCCAGAACTTTTGCTTCTCCTTTTCTTTAGTCTCAACACCCCCTGTATCTTCAACTTAGTTCCCAGAAGTTTCGAAAGAACGTGTGCAAAGAGTATTTTTTTTTCTAAGCACTGAGCTTTTTTTCTGCTGCTATTCGTTATATGGCTACAATGTCATCTACCTATGTGTGTCACATGAAGAACAACAAACCAAACCACTGTACTGTGCTAGCCGACTGGGCTCGCTCTCAGCTAAGGACACTTCATATCTCATCTTGTCACTAAATGCCATCACACTTACAGGTCAGTGGAAGGACTCTTGCAAAGAGCAAAACTTCCTGATGCAACTGTGATCTAGTCCACTGATCTTTCACAAGGAGCTGTTCTGAGCTATACAGCATTCTGGGGGCATAAGTCTCATAAGGAAGCATTTAATGTGAGGTGAATTTTAAAAAGAAAACAGAAGGATGCCTTGCTAACCAAACTGCAAACAGCATGGGGTGGGAGACAATTCTCTGCTATACAGGAGCCCACCTGCTGAATACGAAGCAGAAGCAGCTCTGACTTCCATGGTGGCTCGTTCTTCAACTGCAAAGACCTTAGCACTGCTTTAGTACTTAACTGCATGTTAAGATACTTCCATGATTTTAATTTAGAACTTGGGAAGCTAAAGTTTTAATTTCGTTTTTGCTGTTTTCTTCCCTGTCATAGTGATGAAAATAGCAAGAAACATGGATGTGTTGTTGTTCCAGCTCTATGTAGTGATGCATTATACCAATATAAGACTTGAAATACCTACCAGTGTTTTCACTTATTCAGGATATTTTTCGACCCTAAATCAGTTAGCAACAAATCAATGATCCATGCTTACATTTTCAGCTCTGATGGACAAATAGACCATGAATATGAAAAGATTCAAGAAAGGAAATGTGCCAGTGTTTAGAGAGAGGAAAGATAAGTGGGAAATAATAAAATACTATCATAATCTTGAAAAACAAACAAACAAAAACTACAAAAGAATCCTTAAGAAAGACAATGGGTCCACATCTCTGAAGGTTCTAGCTGCTCCACTCACTAAAAGGAATACTCTCCCTCTCTTTCTTCCATAGTGATGAGCACAAAATCAATTCAGGGTTCTTCGTGTTGCCAACGTGCCAGTACAAGCATTGGAATTTCACTGGCTCAAGAGATCTGCTTAGGACATGCAACAAACAGACCAGCACGCCAACATTTATTAAGAATAAAACTGTCAAGAGCTTGTAAGTTAAGCACCGTTCTCCATTACTGGAACTGTTACTTTATCCTCCAAGTGTGACTAGACAGAGACTAAGATGTTTTTATAACAAAATCAACTTAAATCAATTAGCAAGAAGATACATCCAATAAAGAAAATTTTATCATTATCAGAATTCGGCTTGCAAAACAAAACATTGAAGTATTTAGGAAGTTTTAGCGGTAGCTATAATGAGTGTCTTCAACTTATTATTTGATTAGTTATTAGTTTTTACTATAAATTCCATTGCATTCATAGACATTACTTTATCTCATTTACTTTTATTGAGTCTCCTCCTATAGTTCAGGATTACCCCTGTGTTCATGCCTGATGTTACTTTACAAATGCACACTACTGACTTTCTTTTATAAATTATTCCCTTTGAGTTAGGTAGTGTAAAGTACCAATTATGATCACAAGCAGATTACCTATGAAGGTTTCCATCTCAGAAATGTTTGACTGTCAGAGTATGAAATTTATGGGGGAACTCCTCAGTTTCACAAATTAAAAACTAAAGCTTCTTGCTTAATATTGTGCCATTTCCTCTTAATCAAAAACCCTGCAATAGCCCTCTTTTCATCAATAATGCTTCATAAAGTGGTTCTTAAGGCTTATAAATTTTACTTATGCTTGGGCATATTACTAGAAAGATGAAAAAAATTAACTGAATTAATTTGCTTAAATATTATCGATTGTCAGATTGAAAATCAGACCCTGCAGTCTTATTTTGGAGTGAACAGTTAGAAGGTCACAACAATGATTCCTGTTGAAACTTCAGCCTCTTTGTAAGCAGCTTTCAAGACAGTCTGCTATCAGTTCCTATGAAAAGCCTCTGCCCCAAAAACCTTTCTGCAGAATCTTCCTCCTCAGTCTGGTTTTAGTTAATCTCTCCATAATTCAGGCATGATAGTTGTATATTTCCAGAATCTCTGGAACATTTTGCCTATACATACATATACATATGTATATATGTATGTATGCATGCATATGTGTGTATACACATATATGTATGCATATGTATGTATGTATATAGTGATATATAAAGCAAAAATATACATGTAACCAAAACCAACTCTGGTTCATTTGCTGTAAATGTGAGAAAACAAAAACAGACTGATGGTTTTCTTCCTGAATTGTGCAAATGCATGGAATCAAATATTCATGTGACCTTCAAAAGCAGTTGTTCTTTGTTATAGACTTAGGCCCTCTTATTAGCCACAATATCGCCATGACAACTGTTTGTTTTTCACTCTGTAGGCAGATATTGTCTTCAAGCTAAGGGCATAGAGGTGATTTGTATATTCCATCATCAATTCTGGAGTCATCACCTTTCCGTGAAACAGGGTGACATTACCGTGTGCCATCTCTCCCCAGTCATATCCTATTACTGTCAAATAAACTCCTTCTGTAGGAAGAGAAGCAGTGTTCCCTTGAGTCAGGTTTATGACATTTCATTCTCCCTGAGTGTCTGAGGCAATATTGTCTGACTCAATAGAAGCAGTGGAGAATCAGCTTTCTTCAGAACATCAACATTTGACTGAGAACTCTTCGTGATAGGGAAATTAGAAACATAGAATATGGCTTAATATTTTTAAAGGTCTGGATCCCACATCCATGCAATTATTGTCTTGTATATGAAGTTGCTAATTCAAAGAGACAAATGAAGAATTGAAGAAGTTTCTCTTTATGATTTTAGATGCATATTTTTTTCTAAATAGCTTACATGCTACCTCAAGAAAATGATCAAACAAGTTATGAGGTCTATAAAAGAAACTCAACAACAATTTACTGAGTTTCACTCAGGTTAGCTTTATAAAAGACACACTTCTTTTGGTGGTCTTTAATTTTTATTTTAATAAGTAAAACTTGCCTGAAGGTCAGAGAGTAAAACAACCCCACTGGTCAGCCTTACATACCAGACAGTGATAACACACACCTTTAAACGCAGTAGTCACACTAGTTTGCATAGAAACTGGGCAGGGCATGCATCAAATCCCAGTGCTGTACATTTTTAATCCCAGCCCTAAAGCTGGGAGGAGACAGCTCACAGTTTCATCGTCATTCTGAGACTTCTGGAGGCAGGATCACCATTTTCAGACTGAGGTCGAGGTAAAAGCCAGTGGCTGGCTGTATTGTTTTTCTGACCTTTAGGTTGAACCTCATTTTTTTTCTCTGAGTTTTTATTAATTTATCAAGAGTGCCTCACTCTTGTAACTCAGTATTTGCTAATAGGGGTAGGAGAGTAATCTCCCTTATTCAACATAATTTTTAGTACGTGACATGAAAACAGAGTTTAAGGAAATTAATTGGTCGAGGTGAAATATTGCCTATAACATTCCCTCACAATATTCCAGAGCTAATTGAACTACAAAAATAGCAGCAGTACCCGGTTTTTCCTATTGTGTCTCCAAGATACTTCATTAAATTGACAATGTTCACCAAGTGTTTAATATATGCTGAAAGCTATGCAGAAGCTAAAAGTTTTATTTGCTGATAAACAGTAATAAAAGATCAGTTTTTAAACATGGGATTTAAGCAATCAAACATGGATCTCTTAATTGTATAATTTTAATTTCAAGGATAAATTCATTTTTCATTGTCCCCCTCCATATATCCATCTGCTCTTTTTCCTTTCTTCTTTTTATCTTTCCTCCCCTGTCCTCTTCATATAAATCTAGAAGAATCATGTAGTGGGAAAGAAATAAAAATAAATCACAAAATGAGCTAATTTCACATGGTAGTGCAATGACAATTGGAAACCATATAACATTAGAGTACACACAGACATGCAGACACACGCACACACACGCACACACATACACATACACACATACACACACATATGCACACACACAAACATACAAACACCAAAAAGACAGAAATGGAGAGAGAATATACTTTTAAATGGAATATTCGTTGAAAATTACTTGAACGTTCTTGACCTTGTAACTGAGCCTTGAAAGAGAAGGGAACAATCACATGATTTGTGTTGCTGAGTTTATTGCAGGCTGCCAATTGGAATGATCCAAGGCAAGACCCGTACAGTAGAAGAAAAAAACCAGAATTTCTGAGACAGTCAACTGAAGAGATGGAAGCAAGGACTGGGACAGAGACATAATTGGAAAGGTAAATAATAAATTAGATAGTTAGATGCTCATACTCTATCAATTAGATCACATTTTAGTCTCAGGATGGGAAGAAGTTATTCCCAAACTTTAAGTAAAAGAGTAAACTGAACAAGGTTGTAGCAGATCAGCCTAGTATATGGAATAGAAATTTCAGGCTCAAAGCAGAAGTTCACAGAATCAATCTATATTAGAGGGTCCGGTAAAATGATTGGTAATTAAAATCCATTAATCCACCTATTTTCTAATTAGACATTTCTCCAGTTGAATGGGTTGTCTAAGAGTAACAATTATCAAAAGGATTGCTCTGAGTCGCTAGCACGTATCAGTGTGTTCACAGGAGCGGCAGCTGCCCCACATGACTGCACCACATTGCAAAAGAAAGAACTGTCAATAGAGAAAGAGAATCTGGAAAGAGCAAGATTATAACTTACCATGTTTCACCTTGCAAGTTCTGTTGTCTGACTGCATTAGATAGCCTTCCACACAACTACAAGCATAGGATCCATATGTATTCACACAGGTCTGGCTGCAAATACCATAAATGCTACATTCATCGTGATCTGAAAGAAACATTAAGGTTATTTCTAAGCAACTTTACATTTGGAGATTTCAATTTTTTCTTGAAGAAAATATTTACTTTCAAAGAAACTATTGTTTTAAAAGTTGAACGAATTCTAATAAATAGTTTGAAATAATTTCACTTAAAAGTCAAGTTCATTGCTGTTTTTATATTTACAAAGTAGAAGATTATATTTAGTATTGGTTACTTGTTTTAAAAGGGTAATGACTTTGTGTTGGTCATGCTGGCTAGACAAACATGATTGTCTTTATAATGTTGTCGAAAGCACTATAATATATATTTATTGAATGATTCTAGTATGTATAAGCATGGCTTTTCACTCTTTTATTTAAGAACTAATCTGGTAGAATGCTTCTAATCTACTGATTAACTGTGATTTTTGAGTTAAACCTTGAAAACAATATTCACTCTTTTGAAAGGAGAAATTATCAGACACTCACTGAAATTAAAATTGTTATCATTTTTAAACATTTCACTTTGTTATCATTGTGTATATGTCAGAAGATATCTAGGAGAGCCAATTCTTTCCCATGATTGTTTCCATGAGCTTCCGGGGTCCAACTCAGGTTTGTTCAACATGTACTTTTTTGCGCAGAGGATCAAGCTGGACTTCCTGGATTGCCCTTAAATAGATTTGTGTAACCATCTATTGTCCTCCATCTACTTTTATTGTTCCAATTTATAGCTGCCCTTACCAGAAAAAAAGCTTTCTTTTTCCAAAAGAGTTTTTTTTTAATTTTTTTCTATATTTTTTAATTAATTAATTTAGGTATTTATCAAAAATTTCCACCTCCTCCCTGCCTCCCTTTTCCCTCCCCCTCCCCACCTCCCCTCCCTCTCTACTCCTAAGAGCAGTCAAGGTTCCCTTCCCTGTGGGAAGTTCAAGGTTCTCCTCCCTCCATAGAAACCACATTTAAGGAAACCATAAATGCAGACCCTGTGCCCAATAGTATAAGGTCAATATAAAACAAACTAAACTAAAACTAAAAATGGTATTTTTGGACATTTTAAAATTTGTTCTAAATAAATAAATAATATTTGTTCTGTGTTTTCCTTTCTCACAGATCTCTTTCTTACATAGTATGGTTTCTGATTTTGTTTGAATGGGTTTGTGTGCGTGTCTGTATATATTTCTTCTGCATCTTAATTGGTTCTTTGTTTCCTCTGTTGTGTATTTGTTTGTTTTGTCCATTTTAAAATATTTTTTCTATCATATTATTTTCAGTTGGTTGCTTGTTTTGTAATGAGAGAGAGAAGGAAAAGGAGAGGTTTGGGTGGCTAGGAAAGTATAGAGAATCTTAGAGGAGTTCACATAGAAAAAAAACATAATCAGGATGTATTGTTAGAAAAAAAATCTTTTTTTCAATAAAAAATAAAATTTCTAATAAACTAAATTTAAACAATATTAGGATTTCCTTGGTTGATAAAACTTATATTACAGTTAGACCTAGAAGCTTCTAACAGGCATTGAGATGACTTAGAATTTTAATCTGAGGGAGTCAAATGATGTATGTGTGTATAAGGGGAAAGGCAATTTATAGTCACAATAATGAAGCAATTTATATGCTAATCTAGAGGGCTGTATATATTATATACAACGTTTGGAAGATATTAATTAGAAAGGAGCCAAGCAATGATCTTTGTTTTCTAATTCTAAATGATTTTAGGCTAAACATGGACTGATTAATGTGGAAAAAAATTAAACTAGAAAACTGAGTGTTAAACTCAGAAATATGAAAAAATATATAAATATATGTATGTGTGTGCACACATTTGGTTGTCAAAGGGTCTCATGAAGTCTAGGCTAGCCTTAGAATTCCTATGAAGTCTTGTCATGAACTCCTAATTCTCCTTGTGATACCTCACCCAGCTAATTTTAAGTTCATTATATTTTGAAGTCAGCGACAGTAATTATAGAGAAAAAAGAATAGAAAAAAACTTTAATAAATAGGCTAAATAACATCTGAAAACTAAATGATAAAAGTGAGCAGGCATCCAATATTGACAAAAATGAATATAGGAAGTACGGGTTTAAATAAAGGGAGATCATGAGCTTTATTTGTGTAAACTTTCCGTTGTCTGTAGGGTATTCTTTGGGTAATGAACAAAAAGCAATGGAAATATAGGTTTGATGACAAATAAAGAGATATCTGATCTATGCTTGGAAGTTAGGAGAATATGAATGCTAGACATTAAAAGATAATGTTGACTATTTCCCACAGTGAAAGAAATGTGAAATCAAAATTCACCTGGCACAAAATAGTACCTGAATGTGGGGAGGACAGGCAAGGAAATGGCCTCCATGAGTATCCCCTGTAGGGGACTCCATGATTCTTTGAGGATATTAAAAACAAGAACTTTCAGAGGATGTCAATGGTTGGAATTAGTATGATCAGAGTTAATAATCCAATGGAACCCAGTAAAAACTGCCTTTGGGAGTCAACAAGTAGGGTGCTAGTCTTGGAATAATGTGAGAATCCCATACTACATCCTAAATCATTTTCTATCACATTTATACATGTAGAAATTGACTTCCTTGGGTGGCTTTCCCATTGAATTGAGACATCTACAAACACGAGGTTTTCATTCCAAGATATTTAAATCCTTTAAAAGGAATTAAATGACCTTTAATTATAGTAAACATTTAGCTTTTAGTATAATAACTGATGCAGAGGATGCCTAGATATACTAATAAATATGCCAACATTTCAAACATCCCGTGTTATCAAAGTCCTAGGGAACAATGATAAAAGGATTAGCCTTCTTTAGCTATAAGGAAAAAAAATCTTCAAAACTGCTTTAAATGAATAACTAGGTTATATATCAAGAATGTTTGAAAGAGTGAAACAGGGATCACAAATTTAAAAATATAATGTAGTCAGTTTTAAAAGATCTGGATGAGGGCAGCTGTAATGTGATGACCACAAAACGAGGCATTCTTGGTAGACATTTGAGAGTTCCTTCTTTCTCTTCTTTCTTCCTTTCTCTCTTTCTCTCTCTCTCTCTCTCTTTCTTTCTTTCTTTCTTCCTTCTTTCCTTCCTTCCTTCCTTCCTTCCTTCCTTCCTCCCTCTCTCCCTCCCTACCTTCCCTCTTTTCTTTCTTCCTTTCTTTCCTTCTTTCTTTCTTCTTTCCTTTCTTTTGTTCTCCTTTTCACTCTTCTTCCCTCCCTCCATCTCTTCCTTCTTTCTTCTCTCCTTCTTTCTTTCTTTCTTTCTTTAGTTCTCTTTATTCTTCTCTTTTTAATATGGAAAAATGTGAGCATGCTGTTTGACTACACTGTGAGGCATCAAAGGCACAATTTTTTCAAGGTATGCAAGAAAGGTGGAAACTAGATATTGGATTGAGCAACACATAAAATGAGTTGAATAAATATAAAAATGGGAAAAGTGAATATATGGAGCAGGTTGTATGAGGAGAGGAAACACTGATATGTTGAGATCTAAGTCAGGAGAAGTAAAGAAAGGAAATTAATTTAATAGGTACTAGATAATACCTACAAAGATCTGTGATGTAAAAAGTCTATCTACTGACCAAAGGTGAAGGAAGCAGACTAAGAAAGCAGCACATTGTAGTAAAATAAGAATTCCATGGGACAATTTAGAGAAAGATTCTCAAGAGACCTGTAGCAGATTATAACTGTCCACTTTCCAAAGATTTTTCCATTCAATTCCACAAAGCAGGATCTTGTGACAACCCTGCTTTCTTTTCCATGACAACTTCCATAAGGAAGGGAGTTCACCAATGATTGAGAGATGGTCTCACCTACAATATACAACCATCTACTCCTGGAAATGTCAACAAATAAGTCCAGTTGTCCAATTTTTTGTCCCTCCTTCCACAAGGTTTGGCCACACATTTTGACTTCAGTCAGACTTTGTTGTGACTATATTAGTTCTTCAAATATTAATAATCTTTATCTTTGTGCATCACTTTTCTTTATCATTATGATAAATTAATGGTAGGAGGAGGGAGCAAAAGAGAGAATGAAAGAATGAGGAAGGGAGAAATAGAAAAGGGAAGGGGAAGAGAAAGGAGGGAAAAAGAATAAAGAAATATACAAATACCAAAACCAAGATAATCTTTCATCTGAATTCTTGCTGTAGGGTTGGCTTCTGGGACGATCGAAGCTAATAAAGGAATTTAATAATGGAAAGAATAAAACCTTGCTGTGTAGCATAAGGGGCTATTTTAGTTGGGAAAGAATTAACCTATGTGGAATTCTTTGCTCTGACTTTGGATTTCTTCATAGACCTATAATAACTTGCAGTCATGGATGGCTCATTTGAAGTAAGTGCTTTGGGAGATAGAAAGAACAGTATTTGGAGCTACTTCTAACAGTAATGTTGAAAGAAATTTAGTTTCACATTTGGGAAAGTTCAGCCCTTGGCTGCAGTAATGATGCTTTCATCAGATATTTCGAACTTTAATATTGTTTCCTATTTTACTTTTATTGATATGATTATGTTATCCAGTACAAAAATGTGATTAACAATTTTCTTTGTTCTTTTAACCAAATGGAATGAATAACTGTAACATTCCTGTAACTCCACAGGCTATGGAAGATTAGGCATGCCATTTCTTATGCTATTGCCTTCATTTTTTTCCCCATAAGGACAGGGAATTGTCTGGAAACACAGTAAAAGAGAAATGAATGTTTCTCACACTTGGCCACTAAGGAATGCAAGCAAAATAAAAGAAATCCATTTTCTATGAGTTACTTCTAAAATAATCACCACATATTTGCTTTTTTTCCCTTCTTTCAAAAGAAGAAAATAAGCATGGCTGAGCTTTTTACTGTTAATTAAGAGATTAAGATTCCTGAACTTCAGTCCAGTTCTACTTTGGCTCCAGAAAACACAAATCTTGAATACTTTGGGTTAAAGCTCAGTGAAAGACACTGGTGCCCATAGGTCCATTCCCTAGCCTAAACTTTAAATAATGCGATTAGGTTTGAACGAGGAAAATGCAGCAGGTCCAAAGACTTTCTGTTTGACACAAACTTATGTTTGACTATCTTTCATTATTATAAAAACATTACTGTTGGTCTGATTCTTTCAAAAATGTGAAATTCTGTCTATAGTCTTCTAATTTTTAAAGGTTTTTTAAAGCAGTGTTTTGTCTTCTTATGGCAGGTTTAGGATAAGGTAAATATTTGATTATGAATACTTTTATAATAATTTTGCTTCATACAAAATAAACAATAACCTAAAAGGCAAGTACCAAATTATCAAAAGGAACCTCTTCATGATAAATATGAATCCTGTCGACTTAAGTTTTGAGTCTGAGTGAGAATGTCACCCAATGGACTTGTTCATGTGAATGCTCAATCCCCAGTAGGTAGTGTAGTTTGAGGAAGCATTTTAGGATGGATGATGAATGATGAAATAAAAGGCATCATTTTCATCACTGGAGTCTTTGAAGTTTAAAAGACTCATGCCATTCACAGTTCACTCTCTCTGCTTCCTGATTGTGGTTTAAGATCTGAGCTCCTGGTTGTGACTTCCCTGATAGGTTGGTGATGAACTCTTATCCCTTTGTCACCACGAACTCAAGTAAACTCTTATGCATGCTGTCTTGGTCAGGGTGCTTTATCATTGTAACAGAAATGTCACTAAAACAGTCCTATTTTGTTTCTAATACTTTTGACATTAGGATTTTGAAAAATCATTTTTAAATCAATTCTCTTGAGTTCAAATCTATGTATTAAGGCATAAGTGGTAAAATAATCACCTAAGTAAAATTACTTTAGAGAAAACAAAGTTATTTTGAAAATATTGTCTTTATTAGTGGTTTGGACAGTATAGTATTCTGTTTCTTGTTATATAGTGTATTTATGTAATTTATAACTTTATCTTAGTATGTATATAATTAACAGATTTAAACATATATGTGTGCTTAAATACATATATTTAGAACTATGTAAATGCACACAACATAGTGTGTTTTTAAAAGAGTATACATATGTTAACATATATCATAGATGTCAAAATAATGCATCAATGACCTATAATGTTTCAGTGTTACAGATTAATCATTTTGAAGGATGAGCATTTGCCAAAGAGTACTCAGAAAATCTAGAGCATTTAACCTTTTAGAGAGCTGTATTCAAACTCAGGTACTCAAACATGCTAGACAAGTATTGCATGTACAACACCTAAGTCCCCAAACTACAATTAAGAAATGGGAATAATATGAAAGTCAATATTTATATTGATTACTGTGGTATTAATCAAACCTCACATAACAAAGTTATTGATGTCAAAACCTAGAAGACCATTACGTGCATAGTAATTAGCTTATTTAATTACATGTCTACTACACTGCAGAAATATGATAACCATAAATCAATTAAGAAGTAAAAATAATTAAATCCAGTGTGATAGTGGAAGGCTAAATATTACTCTGTATTTCCAGATTTTGCTATTATTGAAAAATAAGCTAAAATTGGTACAGATACATATATAATGCTCATAATTTATGGGTAATGCTAACCTTTATTTTGTAAGGAAATAATTGTAAAAATTTAACATGATAAAAGATTGTTTTCAGATATTTTATTAAATTTCTATTAGCTAAGCCTTCATACAAGTATTAGATACTATTTCACTATGTATTGTTAATGGTATATCAAGAAGAATGAATAGAGGTTTCATACTTGGCTCATGGACATACTGGGAAGTGGGGAAGCTTTGAGAGAAATGTGGCTTAGTAGAAGGTTCTTGAATTAGAAGAACTGCTCTTAAAAGGGATTGTAGAATTCCACTTTGCATTTCTCTACTTGTTCTGGGACAGGGGAAAAGACTTTGCTTATCATGTAATCATGTTCAAATGCTATGATGCCTTTTAAGGAGGTTCTGGAGCCTCAAAAGGTGTCAGGAAAAATGCAGTTTTCTCCTTCCTAAGGTGGTGGTTATCTCAGGTACTTGGTGCAGGCCAAAGAATACAGAGAGATTCGCCTTTCATACTTGCCTTTACAGCTTCTCCCGTCTTCTGTTATTTCAAATCCATCCTCACAGTAACATTTTGTAATATTTCTGATCACTGCACATTTAAACTGGCAATTCAGTTGCTGACAATTTGGTAGCAGTTCTGTAGAGGAAAAACAAATATAGCCTTACATCAAACTGTGCACACACAACGATTAAGTTTAAATACATTAATATTGAGCGTAATTGATCCAGAGAAGAAGCTATATCCGTTATCTTAAAACAGACTGGTTTACATTTATTTGAAGGATTGGTAACAATATTTAATGTCAATCAGTGTTCAGGTTTTAGCGTGTTAGCATATTACTATGTTCAAGTAACCAAGTCCTTTAAAATTCTTGTAAATTAAATTATTTCAAGAGGAAAAGTGTTAGTGTGAAGGTTCATTTCCCCATCCGTGCCTTCTCCGCCTCATGCATCAATTGATTTTCTCTCTTTGGGAGCTTGTTTTGACTTATCAACCCATGTGTAACCTGCATAAAACCAATGTGTATATATTATACCTCAACAATTTATGTTTCATTGGTGAAAAATATAGACATACTGGACATAATATATTTCATTACGCTTGAGTTCTTTCAGAAGAAATACATCATTAAAACGCAGGTTAGCAAACAAGTTCAAGTAAATTCAGATTCATTGTGATAAATGCACAAGACAGTGGGTGGCAGAAGTACACAGTGCACAGTTGCTAATGAGAGCAGGACTTGCTAGATTCGAAAAACATTTCAGTAGAAGATATGACTATCTATATGACCTGAAAATACTGTTCTAATATATTATAGAGGTTCAATTTTCCCATAGGATGAAAGATAAACGCTTTTAAGACTGCAGATAAATGAATCCAAATATGTTGCTCTTTGACAAAAATTTAGTTGGTGATTTATAAATACAAAATAATAGACAGCAAATAACAATAATACATCTGGAACATTGCGAGTTGAACACTGGGTATTTTAGTAATATATATTGCCTGTACTGTTTCCTTACCTTAATTTCTTCCAGGTACAGCTTGAGATGAATTCATCTGCCTTCTCTTAAAACTCCAAACCTCTTTCCTAATACTCACTCATGTTTTTCTTGTTTCTTATTTCTTTCAGTAGGCAAGAGTGGTCAGAAGATGTGTTCCTAGTTTTATAGTCCATATCTGTTCTACTGCACAAATTCTTGATCCACAGCTTTTCCTATTTAGCTGAGCTAATAATCAAGTCCCCATACCACCGCTTCTCTACTCGCCCCACCTCATCTGTCCTATTCAAGATCATGACTTACTTTGCGCTCCGCTTCCCCTCCTGGTCATTATTTTTTCACTTATATTAGGTTTGCAATGTCAAATTAAAGCCTTACGCTATTTACAAACACTTTGTAGGAACATAGCCACACTCATTATTTTGCATACCGTTTCTGACTGATTTCATACCACCTCAGAGACTGCAAGGTCCTCAAAGCATAAAGTATCTACTTTTGCCTTTTATAGAAGACGTTTTCTGAATGTTACACTAGGTCATTCTCAGCACCAAACTTGCCTTGAATTCCCCCAGATTACAAAGGCCTTAGACTTCATCTCAGCTCTCTCTGCCATCGCTGTTGCCTATTCCTTTCCTTTTTCTATGTGTATGTCTAGCTACATGTAACGATGTATATATCTTCTTTTTTCCTTGAATTTTTGCTTTAAACTTACATAATTAACTTACTTTAGGGCTCATAAAGGAAGTCCTAATGACCTTTATTCTGTAAGTCCAGTGATTCTGCTTGACCCTCACTTGATTTGATCAACTGTCAGCTCATTCTGCTTTTAGTATAACACATACTTGGCTTTCTACCCATTTCATGGTCTTTTTATTGAGTTCCATTTCTTTTTATCTAACTAAGAACATAGTATGCCTAGATAGAAACTGTGGGGTTTTCCTTTGTCTGTTAGTCAATTGTGAACTCCATATTTTGGAACATGAAATTGTTTTTGAATTAGAAGGATAGTTTTGCTGTCCTCATTTTCTAACTTTCATAAACCAAATAATTATTGAAATATGTATTAATTTTTTTCATTTTGAATTATGTAGAACTGTTTTCATTTTCTTAAGGTAGCTTCAATTAATATAAAACACAACTATGTCTACTTTGTATTTCAAACCTTGCAAATTGTTTCATGCTAACATGATATGCTAACAAATATTCATGCTTGCAAAGTATGGATATAGATGCTAATAGCTATTTAGTGCATGCATTTTATTTAAAGAATGACAATGCAGAATATAGAATGATTGATTATTTTTAAATCTCAGTTCTGCTTACTATATCTGGTGGGAATTTCAAAATCGGACTCTGAATAAGAAATCTCGTTAGACCTGCATAGTATTTTAGAAGAAAATTTATAGCTACTAGCTTGGCCAGGATTCTACTGTAAATGTAGGACAGAACTTCACATATTAACAGTCTACTTGCAAACTTGTCTGAGAATTGTCTGAATTTTGACTATATAATTGAGGCGATATATAATTTAATTAATTTATAAATTGTTATTGTTTCATTTATTATTGTTAATATTATATAATTATTGTATTTATATTTTAATAATTACTTTCTCAAGATGCTGAAAGCAGTTCATAATTGATACTGGATCAATAAATCACTAAAAATCTTGACTTTAAAATGAGAATCAACATTAGTCATCATTTCCACTTAGTTAATGTAAGCTAAACCCACACTATAGTTTATTTTCCTCCCAAAGTTGGGTAATTGAGCTGTGACTCAGTGGAAGCAGTCCAAACTTTGCTTCATTTTGCAAGGCACTTCAACCTGGTACTGCCTGAGAACTTAGTCTGTGCTCAGCACTCTGTGGAGTTTCTCACATTCCAAAATTTTGTGTAGAATCACGTATCTGTACAATATGACATGATAGTGAATGGGTTAAATAAAAAGGAAAACAGTGTAAAAAACTAGCTGTAACACAGGGCAAAAATTCATAAAAAACACCCATTTCCTGATGTACAAAGAGAAGCATTCATCCATGTTTAAGAACTATGGAAAGGCATCACAGAAATGGTTGTGGAAAAATTAATTCAAGAAGATTTCAATGGAAGTTTGGAGAGATGGCTCAGTGGCTGAGCATGTGCTATTCAACCATGATGGCCTGAATTCAGATCCACACACCTACAGAACACACTAAAAGCCGTCTCACATGGGCCTATAATCTCAGCTATGGGGAACGGAAACAAGAGAATCAATGATGAGTACTGATTGTCAACCCAAAAGAATACCGCAAATTTCAGGGAGAGACCTTAAAGGAATGAGATGAGAGAATGACCTAAAACCTTCCTATGGCATCAGTGTGGGGTATTCAGATAAACAGGTGCAGAGATGCATACTGTCTTGTGTGCATACATTGCACACATGTGCATATACATGCAAACATATACCACCCCTACAAACACACACACACA